TTTTCTCAAAAAAAGTTGTCTGTTGTTTATTGAACTCTTGTTAATGTCATTTCCAAAAAAAAAAAAAAAAAAATCAAATTTTAGGTTAAGAAGAAAAACCCTGGTGTAAAATCCAAACTAAAGGGAACATCAGATCCACGGCCGTGCTCCAATACGAACAGAACCAAGAGCCGCGGGGGGGCTCCTGGAGCGCGCTGCTCCCCGAGCCCCTCCGGGGCTCGCTCCTGAACCAGGACCCGGCTGCCCAGCCCCCTGCCCAGCCCGGAGCAGAGCGGCTGGGGCAGCCTCAGGCAAAGCTCCACTCCTAGCCGAGGGCCGCTACCCACCCATCCCACGAGGCAGCGAGGAGGGCTTGCAAATCCTCATCTAGGGAATGAGCTCCACCCCAAGAAGGAAGCTGCAGCCCTCCTGCTCAGGCTCAAGGCCTCACATTCCTTCTCTGCTCCCAGCCACAGACTCCAACTAAAGGGGTAAGGAAGCCCCCGGTTTCTGCCTAAAGCAACACGGGCTCCCAGCTCGGCCTCAGGTACAGATGGGCAGGTGAGGAGGAGACAACTTTCAAAACAAGGCTGTTCAGGAAAATAAGCCAAGTGAGTGCTCAGTGATTACTTGGGACTATACACAGGTGGCATTTGCCTTAGAGACATCACACGCATGTTGATAGGTTGCCTGGCAAGAGCTCTTAACACAAGCCGTATGTGGTTAGTTACTAGTGGAGCTGCTGAGAAGGCTTCCACAGAGCAGCCCGCGAGGCAGCGAGGTTCTCCTAGGTCATGCCAGGGGTGACCAGGCCCTGCAGCATGATCATGAGGCGACGGGCGGGTTTGCTCAGCGTGTTGTGGGGTTCCACCTGCAGGAACTGGAAGAGCTTCTGCCGCACCTGGTTCATGACAGACCCCATGTGGTCTCGGGTTATGGGGTCGCTTTGGTCCAGGTGCATCACTGCTTCCTCAAGGTAACTGTGGGAGAGAGACGAGGTTTAGAGCCAAACTCGATGCCGATCCCGCTCCTATTCCATTCATCGGGGCTGCTAATGACAAAACTGTCCTCCACGTAACCAGCTGCCATGCACAAAAGTTCAGCTACTAACAAATAAATTATTGACCTCAAGCAGAGCCCATCTAGAGCTTCAGCACGCAGGGCACAGCTCTTGTTTCCAAGCTGCAGACGTCCACAGCAGCACCAGCATGGCCACTATTTTGTCACACGAGCTTTATGCGGAGCATGTGACAGACCCTTCTAGCAGCTCCTGTTGCACCTCACACTGACCCTCCTTGGTGTGACGAGAAGGTTAAGAATCAATGGCAGAGTGAAGCTGCTCTGCACAGTGTGCTGTCCAGGGAGCCCTGGCACTGCTCTCCTTGCACTGCCCCATGGGCACTGCTCCTTGGTCACCTGGTAAGGCTGCACGGACTGCAAACAACACTTGGAAACTACAAGACCAGGAGGCAGGAGCATCTACAGCTAGGAACCCAAGTTCTCTGTGGTAATGCCTGGGTCACCTTCCAAGTCTTAACAGCCCGTTCAGACACCAGTGCCATGCCAAACAAGTTCCAACCTTTGCTGAAGCACCACCTCCCACTTACATGCAGTTAATAAAAAGCCAGAGCCAGGAATGTGCCCTGGTTCCCGTCTGGCTCTGTGCTCATACTCACTTCAGTTTCAGTT